CATTATGTATATAGTTTAGTTGAAGAAAAAATGTGATGAATTAAAATAGACTGAAATGTTAATTTTCCATATTATGTATATAGTTTAGTTGAAGAAAAAATGTGATGAATTTAAATAGAGGATAAATCTATATTTATAAATCTTGATAAATGAATATATTGCGACATGAAATAAAATTTGAACTACTTTTCATTTCCATTAAACCTTATTTATTACATGAAGAAAACAGCGGTTTATGTAGGTAACGATCTCTTCCAGTTATATAAGTTGGTATGGTGGTCTCACATCTTGCTACCTAAAATTTGGTAGAACAATATTTAGAATACCCGCTATTAATATTTTCGATGCCAAACTTATGACGGGAAGTCCCTAACCCATTGTATTGTATTGAATACACGCTACTAATATTTTCAAGGCCAAACTTCTGACGGGAAAAGAAATAAATATAAACGCATCTTGATATTTTTATGTACGTATAAAAAGTAAAATAACTCCATTTTATTAAATTCAATTATGATACGAGGGCTGCTATATAGCTGGCTGGCCTAGGCAACACTAAGTGTTGGCAGGTGCAATCTAACATTTCCATCGGAAAGTTTAACATTTTTAGCATACCATCACTCAGAACGTTTTGTCATTTAATCGTGAATTTTTATTTACAGGAATTAAAAATTTATCTCGGCCAAAAATGGAATTAACCGTGAACATTTTCGTGCGATCATTTTCACAACTTTCGACGTGGATTATCACGACAAGAGTGCATCAATGAACTTAAATCTTTGTATGGCTATGAAGCACCATCCTACAGCACTGTGAAAACTGGTACAACGAATTTAATCGTGGCCGACGCTCGCTCAAAGACGAATTCCGTGAAGGTCATCCAAAACAGCCGTTGTGCAAGAAGACATCGATGCCGAGTGAACTGATAATGCAAGACCGTCATGTAACATACCTTCAGATAGAGGCATGCCTGTGCATTTCTCCCACCAGCATACATTCGATATTGCATGAACACCTGGCCGTAAAAAGGTTTGTTCTCGTTGGATCCCGCAGAATTTGACAATCGCTCGTGTGGATTGGTGTAAAGAAATGCTAAAAATACGATCGCGGTGCTTCAAAGACGTTTATAAGATCGTCACAGGTGACGAATCATGGATCTATGCGTATGAGCCCGAAACAAAACAGCAATCGACCGAAAAACCTTTTCGTGATAAATATTCGTATTTTCATTATTAGGCCAGAAATATATATAGCACCTCTCGTATTACATTGAATACTGCTAAACAACAATTACAGCTTCCAATCAACTTTTCCCTCGTTGTTGAAGTATGCCATGAATTCATGTCGAATAGCTTCTGCTCCTCCTCTCCGCGGATTGTTGTTACTACCAGGAGCTTCCGGAGATCCATAGGTTGTATTACTCAATGAGTTTAACCCACTGTTATTGTTTGTTCCCAAAAGTTGTGCAGAACACAGCAGTGTAATTTTTGTACAGACTCTACTTTTAAATTTATTGGAGCAAGGACAATTCGGAATCTGTTTGCCAGAATCCCGAAGGAATGCTCAACAACATGTCTGGCGCGAGAAAGGCGCGAATTGAAAACTTACTTTTCGCGAGAGTTGGTATGGTAGGGGTATGGCTTCATCAAGTGCGTCGGAAGCTGGAAAACATCATCGCTAACCATCACATATGGGAGACATCTATTATTTCCTATTGTTGAATTTGTTGGGAAACTTCTCTCTTCTCGCAGCACCTCCGAAAGTTTACTTTGCAAGAACACTCCTGCATCGTTACATCGGCCGTTACAACCTATATCCACAAAAATAAATTTACAATTGCATCAACGGGGCCAACAAAATTGTGCTTTTGTGCCTTTATAGTTGTAATAAATGGCTCCATCTTTTCGCGACGGCCTAAAGGTTATGTGTTTGCCGTCCAATGCGCCCGAACAATTTGGAAATTGCCATCTTATCGCAAATTCATTGGCTATAGAAACCCACTCGGAGGAACTGCTTGAAACTAAAAAAAAAATATTTATGTAATTATTAGTCTATAGAAAATAATTATTTATATCTTCAATATAATCCTCTTAGTCTTCTATATATGAGTCACACACCTCTGGAATTATTCCACTAATCGCAGAAGTCGAAATTTTTGAAGCAAAGTTCAAACTCTGAAACGTTTCTCGTATAAAATATGTACAATAATTGAATTCTTTAATTTTTGAATACGCCAATTTATAACAACAAAGTTTCAAGTTATAATTACCTGTGGCAAGAAAACGTAGAGTCAGCGATAGTTTTTCCGCTGGAGAAATTGCTGCACGCATCCTAGTATCCTCCTTTAATAAATCTTCATTTACTGCAGATAGTATAAAACCAAATTGATTTGTTGATATTTACATATATTTTATCATTTATCGACGAGCAGTAGTTCCTTTATTAAAAATGAATGCGAACCGTTTACTGATCGTTTTTCTCTCCATTAACCTCTTCTTTCCCCATTATCTCTCTCCTTTTTTCCATATTATGTATATAGTTTAGTTGAAGCAAAAATGTGATGAATTTAAAAAAAGGATAAATCTAAATTAATTAATCTTAATAAATGAATATATTGCGACATGAAATAAAATTTGAGCTAAGCCTTTTCATTTCCATTAAACCTTATTTATTACATGAAGAAAACAGCGAATTTTGTAGGTAACGATCTCTTCCAGTTATTATATAAGTTGGTATGGTGGTCTCACATTTTGCTACCTAAAATGTGGTAGAACAATATTTAGAATACCCGCTATTAATATTTTCGAGGCCAAACTTATGTCTGGAATTCCCTAATGCATTGTATTGTATTGAATACACGCTACTAATATTTTCGAGGCCAAACTTATGTCGGGAATTCCCTAATGCATTGTATTTTATGAATACCCGCTATTAATATTTTCAAGAACAAATGTGTTAACGATTAATATTATTATGTATGACGGTGAAAAAAAGAACTTTCTTTCACCGTCATATTTTTTTATTTCTTACAAAACATTCAAAAATTAATTAAATTTCTTGTTTTAAATAAAAGTATATTCGAACTAAATTTTTTGCGATTAAAAGAAATAAATATAAACGCATCTTGATATTTTTATGTAAATATAGAAAAGTAAAAATAACTCCATTTTTATTAAAATTCAATTATGATATTACATTGAATACTGCTAAACAACAATTACAGCTCCCAATCAACTTTTCCTTCGTTGTTGAAGTATGCCATGAATTCTTGTCGAATAGCTTCTGCTCCTCCTCTCCGCGGATTGTTGTTACCACCAGTAGCTTCCGGAGATCCATAGGTTGTAAAACTCAATGAGTTTAACCCACTGTTATTGTTTGTTCCCAAAAAGTTGTGCAGAACACAGCAAGCCAGTGTAATTTTTTGTACAGACTCTACTTTTAAATTTATTGGAGCAAGGAAGATTCGGAATCTGTTTGCCAGAATCCCGAAGGAATGCTCAACAACATGTCTGGCGCGAGAAAGGCGCGAATTGAAAACTTGCTTTTCGCGAGAGTTGGTATGGTAGGGGTATGGCTTCATCAAGTGCGTCTGAAGCTGGAAAGCATCATCGCTAACCATCACATATGGGAGACATCTATTATTTCCTATTGTTGAATTTGTTGGTAAATTTCTCTCTTCTCGCAGCACCTCCGAAAGTTTACTTTGCAAGAAGACTCCTGCATCGTTACATCGGCCGTTACAACCTATATCCACAAAAATAAATTTACAATTTGCATCAACGAGGGCCAACAAAATTGTGCTTTTTGTGCCTTTATAGTTGTAATAAATGGCTCCATCTTTTCGCGACGGCCTAAAGGTTATGTGTTTGCCGTCCAATGCGCCCAGACAATTTGGAAATTGCCATCTTATCGCAAATTCATTGGCTATAGAAACCCACTCGGAGGAACTGCTTGGAAACTAAAAAAAAAATATTTATGTAATTATTTAGTCTATAGAAAATAATTATTTATATCTTCAAATATAATCCTCTTAGTCTTCTATATATAGAGTCACACACCTCTGGAATTATTCCACTAATCGCAGAAGTCGAAATTTTTGAAGCAAAGTTCAAACTCTGAAACGTTTCTCGTATAAAATATGTACAATAATTGAATTCTTTTAATTTTTGAATACGCCAATTTTATAACAACAAAGTTTCAAGTTATAATTACCTGTGGCAAGAAAACGTAGAGTCAGCGATAGTTTTTCCGCTGGAGAAATTGCTGCACGCATCCTAGTATCCTCCTTTAATAAATCTTCATTTACTGCAGATAGTATAAAACCAAATTGATTGTCTGACATTCTTACATAATTTTTATACTCATTTTTATCGAGCGAGAGTAGTTCCTTTATTAAAAATGAATGCGAACCGTTTACTGATCGTTTTTCTCTCCATACCTTTACCCATTGCCTTTTCTTTTTCTCTATAGGCATTTCTGCCACTTTATCGAACATATTAAATAGATCTACCATTTAAGAAATAAATTTTATTTAATATTAAATTTTTAAATAAAAGTGTCAACAAACCTTCACATATGTCTTCCTTTTCACAATCATCCGAATCAACTTCCATGGCTTCCTCAATACATTCAAAAATATGTGTCATTAGTTCAATTTTATCCTCATATTCCATTTTTTTCTAAAATATTTGAATATATCTGCATATTTTGATTTAAAAAATCATAACAAAAACTTTAGTTCCGACATACCGTCTCTTCTAATGCACAACTTCCAAATAACTGCAACTATGTACGCGGTTCAAAAAAATATTTTTGAGTATCTTATTTTTATCCTTATTTACAATTTTTCAAAATACCTATTACTATTATTCTATGCATACCTACATTTATTTGCATATCACATACAAAAAATAAATAACAGAATTCAAATTTGTGAACGAATTCATTTGAAACCGAGCGCAATTGCAACCATTCAAAGAATTTGAAAGTGAAAAGGAATGCTGAAAAGGGGAGGAGCGAGCTGTTACAAACAAGAACAAAGCGTGCCACCCGAACACGAGTGGTACGGTCCCTTCGTCTTTCCTCGTCGTCCCCTCGCCAACAATAAACCGGTTTGGGTTACAAAAGAATCTGTGTGTAAAAGCAGAGCTACCTGTTTAATGTGTTGAAGTAGTGCCGGGCATGGATAAAACCAAACTCTTTGATTTGAGAGAGCGCTGTCAAAGTCCACATTTTTTATAACATTTGACAGTGGTGCCGCTAAGGAAAGAAATAAGTTTTGAGATTTTTTAATGTATTTCTTGGGTATTTTTCGGTTTCCTTCTTAATATTAGTTTAACAAGCTAAATATCCTATATGACGTCTAAAGATATGTACATGTATATTTTAATCACAAAAGATTTTCAAAATTATTGTTTAAAACTTAATTTAACAAAATTTAATATTTCAAAACACTTACAAGTTTTAAATAACCTAAACATTAACCTTATTTCTTTTTTATACACTCTATAAATAAATATCTTTTGATAATTTATTCGGAAGTCAAAGTTTACATAACATTTGCTGGGAAATCTAACCAAAATATGTATATACGTTGACAATTGGTCCTGCTAAACAAAACAATACTCTGCAACAAAATAACCGCTCTTTTTTAAAAACAAAACTATATTAAATCTCTTTAAATAAAGATTAAAAATATACGTAAAAGTCACCAAAAATCTGATCTCACAAATTACTCACTGATTTCGCAATTTATTTCTGCGGGATTCTTAGTGGTAGTTCATTGTTTTGCTTGTCCTCTGTTCAGTAGCTCATGAACTCGTGACTTTTATTGGCAGCACTGAAAGTTCATGAGCTCTCTCAGAAGGCAAAGAAAGGAGTTTCGTATCATTTTATCTATGCCGACTACCATACCATACCATATATAGGAGAAGAAGATATTTCAACCCAATTTCATTTTATTCAACAAAGACAAGCATGGATAATATGATCCGAAGCTCTTTGAATCGAGAGAGCGCTGTAAAATACCACATTTTTTATAACATTTGGCAATGGTGCCACTAGTGAAAAAAATACGTTTTGAGATTTTTTAATGTATTTCTTGGGTATTTTTCGGCTTCCATTATACAGAAAAATATACGTAACTAATATTAGTTTAACAAGCTAGATATACTATATGACTTCTAAATATAAGTACATGTATACTTTAATCATAAAAGATTTTCAAAATTAACGATAAAAACTTAATTTAACAAAATATTTTAATATTTCAAAACACACAAGTTTTAAATAACCTAAACATGATCCTTATTTCTTTTTTATATATTCAATTAACAAATATCTTTTGATAATTTATTCGGAAGTCAAAGTTTACATAACATTTGCTGGGAATTCTAACCAAAATAAGTATATACGTTGGCAATTGGTACTGTTAAGCAAAAGAATACTCCGCGACAAAATCCCGCTCTTTCTTAAAAACAAAACTATATTAAATCTCTTTAAATAAAGATTACAAATATACGTAAAAGTCAACAAAATAACTGATCTCACAAATTACCCACTGATTTCTCAATTTATTTCTGCGGGATTCTTAGTGGTAGTTCATTGTTTTGCTTGTCATCTGTTCAGTAGCTTATGAACTCGTGGTTTTTCTTGGCAGCACTGAAAGTTCATGAGCTCTCTCAGAAGGCAAAGAGAAGAGTTTTGGATCATTTTATCCATGGTGCCAAATATTGTGTGTAATAAATCAAGGATAAAATAAATTCAGTACTTCACTAAGAGTATATTGCTTTTATCTATGATTGCTGATTAAAAAAGAATTGAAATTGCAATATTTTTGAAAATTTAGAAAATATGAACTTCCGAAATATAAAAACTGTAATAGGTATAAGTTTAAATAAGATTTGCTCTACACGTGAAGTTACGACCCAAATACCAGTTATTAATGAAAACAACTTTCCTAACAAAAATAACAGCTTAAAAATGGCTGGGTGGCAAATTCACAACTATGGAACGAGTGAAGAATTACAGTATGCGACGGGTTTAAGAATGCCCACAATTAAAAACTCTACTGACTGCTTAGTGCGTATTAATGCTACAACAGTTAACCCTATTGATGTAGCAATGCTAAGTAAGTAGAACCGAACTACTAACTTCATAGTATTAATTTTAAATTAATAGGAGGATATGGTTCAAAAACTTTAAATCTATTGCGATATCAATATTTAAAGGCGATAGAGTTTCCATTAATTCTTGGGCGCGAATTTTGTGGTGAAGTTGTTCAAAGTGGAATGGGCGTCGATAAAATTGCTGTAGGTGATAGAGTATATGGTGTTGTGCCTTTACATGTAAATGGATCACATGCTCAATATGTTGTAGTGCCAGAATATTGTGTAATTATACAAAAATATATTTTTAAATTAATTATACTTAAGTACTTATATTTTAGTTGTCAATAGCTCCAGTTTCTTTATCTAATAAGCAAGCAGCGTCAGTCCTCTATTCTGGTCTAACTGCATGGTCTGGGCTATATGTTACCGGTCGTTTAGGAAGCATTTGTGGAGCAATATCCAGTACTGGTGGTGGCGAAAATAGACGTATATTGGTAATGGGCGGCTCTGGAAGTGTTGGTTCACTTGCAATACAACTACTTAAATCACAAAAAGCTACTGTTATTGCTACATGTAGTTATAATGCTATTGACCTTGTAAAAAATTTGGGAGCTGATTATGTGATCGATTATAAAAACTCAGCTGAGTTCGAAACGTTGCGAAATTATGCACCTTTCGATATTGTGTTGGATTGCGCAGGTCAAGGAATAGAACTGGCAAACAAGCTTAATTTTCAATTTGATCAGTATATAACGTTCTCTTCTCCTTTGTTGAAGAATGTAGATAAGTTTGGCATAAGTTTCGGAATGTTGAAAAATATAACTCACTTCATTCAAGCTAATGTGAAACTATTCTCCGGAAAGAGGATTTTATTAAAATATGGTTTCTTTATGCCAGCACCACAAGGAATTGAACTACTGACACGTTTGGTGAAGAAAAATCAGGTATGTAGTTACTTCGAATTTATAAAACTGGTCGGACGAAGCATGTGAAGTTGTTTTTAAGTAGGTGTAAAGAACGTTGCTTCTAAAAATAATGTGCGTACAACTATTGTCATTTACTTTTTAATTCATATTAAACTTAACTCTTTTTAAATGTACGTAGGATAACTCCTGCGCTATGAAGTGTTAATTGTACAGCTAAAGCATGCGATTTCGGTCACTCCTCTTCTTTTCAGTTCCTATCAACAAGTTTTTTTAATGGAACAGAAAACACTTTTATCTTTAAAACACTTTTTAGTTTTCAAACCATTTTCAAATCGTCTACAAGTATTTTGAAGTATTTTACGGTACTTAAATTAAAATAATAAAAAATTTTAACTTGACCCTCTAATTGATAGCGTATTCACTTATGCCCCTGCTTTTGAAGCGGCTTTACATGAAATGTCTGCCAGAGTTGAGAATATTTCAAATATTCCAATCTTTTTATTTTAGTTATTGCCAATGATTGATAGCTCATTTACTTTTGCTGAGTTGCCCTGTGCTTTTGAGAAGGTGAAACGTGGTCATTTGCGAGGGAAAGTTGTTATAACAATGTCTTAATTAAGAAATAAAATATTCACCTAGTTTTGCTCTTAATTGAATGGTAAGTCTATATATGAGTACATCAGGATCAATAAAAATATTTGTTTTAAGGTGAAAAGTTTTTTACTCGCCATGTATGCACCTATACTTGTTTATACAAATTTACGGTCTTCTAATAAGGCCGTGTGCCAAACTCAGAACTGAACTCATGAATTCAAATATTATTGGTTTAACATTCGAAACAGACATTGTATAGGTTTTGGGTGTCACGGAAACAAATTTTATTTGTTTGGTTATCAGAAGCAAAGCAACAAGATATTCGCGGACAGATTTGAAATGTAAGTTAAGAAAATAATTTATATTATTGTTAAGATTTAATTTATCTTTATTTCTGTAGGAGAAAACATAAGAATAAAACAAAAAATGTCATATTTATTGAGTTTAAGGAAAATATGAAAATATTTTAAGAGGATTTACAAAACATAATAAATGTAATTTAACACCCAAATGCGCCTTTATTCTGTTTATAATGTGATGTAAATCTGTAAATTAAGCATGTATATACATATATGTATATAGCATACAAGTAAATGCAAGCCAAATTTCACATGCGATTCCCCTGGTACAAGTGGAGTACTGTGATCTCTTAATATCTTCTTTTTAATTTTTTCGTTACTTATTTCTTCCAATAAAATAAAAGCTAAAATAGCGGAACTCATGGTAAACTTTAAAATACTTTATTCAGTATTTGAATATATCAAAGGCTTCCAAATTTATTAATTTTTTATGTTACATTAGTACACAGAAGATTCGAATATTGGTTTTGCGTATGTTCGAAAAGACGAAAATCCAATCAGAATCTGTAACACCGCTGAAAATCAGAATTGGTTTACAATTCTGACAACTACGCAAATCTGTCTTGGATTCCACAACACCCATGATTAATTCGTAATTATTCATTTGTTTATGTTTTATTAATTATATTCAATACAGAAATGATACTCTAAATAACGAAAGTTCTTGAGTTTGAATTTTTTTTTTATTATTTAGCCGAAATATTTCAAATTAAAATTAAGATGAAAAAATTGGATAAAAATAATAGTTGATTAAAAGATCCTAATGTAAATGTAATTATGTACAGGTTGGTGGATAAGTTCCTGCTCTCACCAAGAAATAGCACTACTAGCTCCAATTTTTTCTCAAGTTGGTACGTCTATCGTGAGAACACATACAAAGTTACAACTCATTCCTCCTAATAATTCTTTGTTTACAAGCCATTTGAAGTTGACGTGTCAGAGTATTTATTAGGCCTAAAGACGATCCACTCGGAGGACGACCAAAAACCACATCAGAGATCATTTAGGAAGCTCATAATATTGTTACTGAAAATCCAAGTTTGACTAAGCGTGAAATTGCTAATGCCATAGGCATCTCAGACGAACGAGTACATCATATTTTACATAGAGAATTACATACACACGTTAACAATTCAACAAAAACTGGATCAAAAATTAAATTCTTAGTATAATTTGGAGCATTTTAAGCAGAATTAATCCGATTTCTTGCGTCGTTTTATAGCTATGGATGAGACTTGGATCTACCACCCTGCTTCTAAATTGAAACAAGAACGTTTACAGTGGACTGAAGCTGGTTGTTCAACTCCAAAGCAGCTGAAGTCACAACAATCACCAAAGAAGGTTATGGATGCAAAAGGAATTTTGTTGATTGATTATCTGCAGAAAGGTAAAACAATCAAATCTGAATATTCTTGCAGGCTTTTGGATCAGCTGGATGAAAAAGTTCATGAGAAAAGACCTGGTTTGCAGCACAAAAAAATAATTTTTCATCAAGACAATGCACCTGCTCACAAAGGTGTTTCAACAATGACAAAATTCAAGGATTTAAAGTACAAATTGCTTGAGCACCCACCGTATCCACCGGATTTGGCTCCCAGCGACTATTACCTCTTCAGAAATCTGAAATAATTCTTTCGTGGAATCTGGATCTGTGCTCTATTGTGCCTTGCCCTCATTTATATAGGTCTAGAACTCTGATGAATACCAGGAACTGCTGGGTGCCATTGAGGCAATGTGTTGAATATATAGATCCAAGCGCCTTACTGCAGTTCGCTACGCCATCTACAAGTAGGTGGTTCAGAGCTTTACACTCCATGTCGCACAACCGACAGTATGCGCATGATAACCATGTTGAAAAAATAAAAAAAAACCAGGATTTCAATGTTGTTGGTGACAAAGGTGATTTAGTTTAGTTACATTAAGTTCCGCTTGTAATATAAAATAAATTTTTTAAACACTCATATGACTAATTAGGTCAAGGAAAAATTAATTTTTCGTGTATAAAGGATTATCATTGCAATGAAATCAGACAATAATAAAATTAGTCCCATGGGTTAATTTTGTTTCAAGTTTCATTAAGTAAAAGTAATTGTACAATTGAAGTTCATTGAAAAATAAGTTTTTCAACGCATTTAACTTTCTTCCAATAATATTGTTTATTATTTAATATTCTCTAAAAAGTTTTATTTTTTTATGTAGTGTGTTCCCCATAATATGTGCCACTATCGTGTGACAGAGTGTTCCAATTCGTCTACATAATCATTGTATAAATCTACAAATAGCCAAAGAATCAACTGTGTTCCAAGAACTTTACACAGCTGAGATCACCTGGTCGAAATCTGCATTTTTTGGACACAGAAACAAAAGGAATATATTACAATACCTCTCAAATAATTTTAACAAAAAACCAAAATAAATATATAAAATCAGGTAAAAGTCAATCGTATTCATAAATCAATACAAGTCAAAACAATCTTATTGTATTCACTTCAACAAAAAGAAAAATAAATATAAAAAATCAGGTACAATCAGGAGCAACAATAATAATAATCAATCTACTAAGTAATAAATAATATTTATAAATATTCTAATTTATGGGAGTAGGTATCATTTGACATGCAAAAAGGTGATTAGTGTTATAGGGGGACTCATTGCATGCAGGATATAGATTTTTTATGTCAGGGTCTATTCTGGATAAGTAGGAATTTATCCTGCTACAATACCCAAAACGAAGTTGCTCTAGGGTCACTCTAGTTTCACGCGGCAACTCGAGCTCTTGGTCTGTAATAGGTGGTGTTTGGGACTCCAATTACGTCATTCACTTGAAGGGAGTCAATGAAGGTGTTAATAGTTCCGCTGTGAATGGCGTTCAGTGCCTGTCGGAAATAGATTGCGTCCGAAATTTGGTCGGTATATTGTTTCAGTCCAGAGGAATAAATGGTCCTGATGTTTCTAGGAGGCTTCGCTTCAAGCAAGAGATGGTTTCTGCAAAAACACCCGAGCAGAAATTGCTTGGAAAGAAGTAGTCCTTTACAGGGAACAAGCGAGCCTCACTATGTATATGCAGACTTTCGAATGTGACGCTAAAATTTTATGGTTGTTTACCATTGGAATTTCGACATCATCGACGGAAATTTTGAGGTCCAGTTTGTACACTTTACGGAAGCCGTGCTGCAGTTCGTCTAAGCTCAGATGGTGCGTGAAGGTCCGGAGTAACAAAGCCTCAAGTATTTCCACTACTGGAGAAAGGGTAGTTATCAGGTGACAAGACTTCCCTAGGTTGGCAAGCTTCCCAGGTTTCAGTAGTTGGACCACCATTTTGATTTTCCGCACACCGGTATATGAAGAGTGGTCAATGACAAGTTAGGGACGTTGTTGAGATAACTTACTCCCATCGAGCCAAGAATTTAGAATCAGCATATTTATTCCATCTGGGCTGATGGATTTCGATGACTTTGTTGTTGGTGTAACGGTTGTCTAGTCCCCGCTTGGGTGGTAAGATTCAATTTGGTTGTCGCCGAGGTCATCTAACTGGAGGCCCAGGAAACGAGCTGTTTGTTGTTGTTGTTGTAACGGTTACCTAGTCCCCGTTTGGGTGATAAATTCCAGATTCGTTGTCGTCGAGGTCATCTAACGGGAGGCCCAGGAAACGAGCTGTTTCGGCGGGGTCGGACCATATGGAGAAGGGTGTTAGATGGGTGGGGTTTGTTGGGCATGCAAAGAGGTGGTTAGTGTCATGCGGAGACTCATTGCAGCTGTTTCGACGGGGTCGGACCATAGGGAAATGGGTGTTAGATGAGTGGGGTTCGTTGGGCATGCAAAGAGGTGGTTAAAGTCATGCGGAGACTCATTGCATGCAAGACATATATTTGGTACATATGTCGGGGTCGATTCTGGATAAGTAAGAGTTTTATCTGCTACAGTATCTAGAACGAAGTTGCGCGAGAGTCACTCTAGATTCGCGTGGCAACTCGAGCTATACGTCTGCGATGGGTGGTGGTTTGGCTCCTAGTAGGCCATTCACTGAGAGGGAGTCGGTGAAGGTGTTGATGGCTACACTGTGAATGGCGGTCAGTGTATGTCTAAAGTTTGTTGCGTCCGAGGTTTAGTCGGCGTAATGTCCAATGTCGACGTAATCAAGGAAGGACCTCTAGATGCTCCTACAAGGCGGCTCCTCTTCAAGCAGACGGCTGCAGGGGTGGTTTCTACGAAAACACCCCAGCAGAAACTGCTTGGAGAGGAGCTCGTTATGTTCCTTAGCCGGAAGCATACGGGCCTCACTATGTAGGTGTTTTATTGGGGACATAAAGAGGCATCCCGCGATAGTCCGGCGTGCTGTGTTTTGACATGTCTGAAGCTTCTCCGTCTGCGTTGCACTACATCCAGCTTGTTTAATTCTTCTAAGTTTGGAGTTTTGACCTCGTTTTGACTTAAACAAAGACTTACCGATCCAAACAGGGTTAGATCGCTGAAATAACTGCCCTTGGCCGGATAAAATCCGGGTCAATTCCGGTATCGTAGAACCGGCTATTGTGGGATGCCTTTGCGAAATCGTTGGCTAACACATCTTTTCGCCTTGTACACCGATGCTTGCAGTATAAATTGTCGGTTAAAGAAGTTCCCGCACTTCTGCGTGTCCGAGCAGGCACGAGCGTCGAATTGAAACATGATCATCAACGTGTCTCCTAGGATGAGACAGGGTTTTGACAGTAGTTCAAAGCTTGCACTCTCTGGCCGAGAGATTACATGACTTCAGGTGCTTCACCCATTTCATCCGCTTATGTTGATATACCAGCTTTCGAATCTCCAAATAGAGATCACTTATACGGGGATCACAGGGATCGACCAGGACTGCTAAGACTGCTGCTTCAACTGGGAAATTTGGTCATAATTTCTAAATTCTAACAGCGGGATGGAAGCGAGCAGCAGCGATCATCTTGCAGAATTGACGTTCGTCAAAGAATACGTCCGTAGGAATGGGTACTGCATTGATGAGGCTCTCGGTGAATTCTTTGACGCCGACACTTCGTTAAAGTTAACGTAGGTGCGGTTGTCCACAGAAGTAAAGTCAGAGTATATACGATTTCTCGATCGATATTATTATGGGCAGATGGTCTGATGCTAATGTTAGCATAGGTCACCAGGTTATGCTGTTTATCAGTCCACGACTAGCGATGGTGATATTATGCGAGCTGCTACAGGTGACCATAGTTCTGGCAGGGGCTTTGTTATTCATTGGGCAGAATGTCGAATCGTCTATCTGTTCCGCCAGATCCATGCCCTTACGAACGTTTAACAGGCAGAAGTGCCAAAGATCGTGGTGCACATTTGGGAGTGAGAGAGTTGTACAGGTCTGATACATACAGGGGCGTAGCTACCGCCGTATTTGCCGTATCAATTATACGGGGGCCCCCAAAGTGTGTAAGGTAAAAGAATAAAAACTTTATAATTTATTTTATTTTACAAATGACAAAATTCTAAGCAATTCCTTTTTTTCCCGCCTTAAGCGGGCGTTCAAAAGTTGGCAACACTCTACATCGTTATGGCGGGCTGCGGGACTTCCCCGTTTTACTTACTTCATCTTCAACTCAGCGGGGAATCCCCGGGAATCCTTTATCGATATCGCGATGTACGTGTACGTTGCTGTACTTTGCATTGGATGTTAAACCACGGAGTACAGTGCACTGTTTATTTACGCGCTTTATATAAATGTGCATTACATTGTAATTCAGTACAAACAATAATGTTCTTCTGGTTTAGCAGTATTAGTAGCGATTTGTAAAAGAAATGAGTGAAAGGAAAAGAGATTATCCCAGCGGCGCTGAGAAAAGAAAAATTAAACAGAAAAGGGACGAGGTTATAAAAAAAGTGCCCAAAATTTCTTCATTTTTTCAGAGACAAGATACTGTAAGGTAAGTACTACCCAACCCATTTATTAGGGGCCCGTAGTGATAAACAAGGAAATCTTTTAATTTCGGTCTGTCCATCTGTGCGTCACAAAAAGTGGTCTCCCCCCTCGATTTTCACAATTATACTGTTTTTAGGGTTCCGTGCCTTGATTAAAAAAAAAAACAAAATTCTAACTTATCTATAGGATCGATTTGTTTTGTTGTTTGTCTATCAGTCCGTATCGTATCGTTAATTGCGTGTTGAGAACTTCAGATGTGCAGACTCGCTTTCGGGTTCTCGTTTTGTATGGCCACTACACTACGCGCTGCGTTTAAATAGCACGCAGGTGTATAGTAATGCACGGACGGGCTGCAGGTGATTTTGTATCTACTAATAGGTACGAGCACAATCCGTGTAGAGTCTGTTTGCGTCTGAACTGAACACTCTCTAACTGTGACCCTTAGTAACGTTATTTATTTATATATAACTCTTTTTAGTTTAGTATCAAGGCATTCGTATTTATTTTTTAACAATTACTCGTTTATTTTTAGATTCTTCTGAAGCATGTTCTTCGTCAATTATCCATCCGGAAATAGAAGAAAGCCAAGCACATACTTTATCGGATGTCCATCCAGAAATCGAGGAACCCCAAGTCAACGATTCTGATATATCTGCAGATTGTAATATAATTTCATCAGATAGAGGAAATTTTGGTGACAATTTAACTAAATGCGAACGAAAAATAATTTTTAAATTAGGTCCATTTAAACCACAAGGACCATTTCCAAAAGTTTCAGAAACGAACCGACCTTTTTCGGCTTATTATTATTCATATTTCAATCAGGCAGGCATAAAAATTATAAGACCATGGTTATGTTATTCTAACGTTTTAAACAAACCGTACTGTCACTCCTGTTGGTTATTAGCAGATCGTCAAAACAAATCGTACTCCTCTGCTTGGGTTAACGGTGTTTCGTTTAGAAGCAATTTCACACAAACTATTCTTGACCATGAAAAGTCACAGCAGAATATTAGTGCCTCACTCTCTTATAATAATTGGTTGCAAGGAAATACCATCGATACTCTATTGAAAAGTAAAATTACATTCTGGAGAGATGTACTGCATCGTATAATTAATGTTATAATTACTTTAGTATCTTGTAATCTACCTTTGAGGGGGCATGATTCTGATTCTGGCAATTTCACGTCTGCTATCTAACTATGATGCAACTTTAAAAGAACTTCTTCTAAAACCGAAAGGTGAAATAAATTATTTAAGCCCTACGATTCAAAATGAAATTATTAGTTTGCTTGGTACCACCGTTAGGAACAATATTATCTCAGAAATTAAAAAAGCTCCATTTCTGACAATAATTCTGGATACAACACAAGACTTGTCAAAAATTTACCAACTATCTGTAGTTTTTCGATATATCTCGGTTACAGAAAATGATGATAATGTGCCTAAAGAAATAAAAATCTGTGAATCCTTTTTAGGATTTATAGCAGTAACCGATTGCAGTGCTGCAGGTCTGAAAACTGTCATTTTAAATTTGACTAAAGAATATGGAATTGATTTGACTATATGTAGAGGACAGGGATACGATGGAGCAAATGTTATGTCGGGTGTGTATGGAGGATTACAAACCCTAATAAAAGAGCATGCTCCAAATGCCGATTATGTTCATTGTGCTGCGCACGCTTTAAACTTAGTTTTGAACGATGCTGCGAGACATGTTCGTGCAGTATTGACTTTTTTCGATAATTTAGAAAAAATATATACTTTTTTTGGCAATAGTATAAAACGCTGGGCTATGCTAAGTGACGATTCATCTGAAAAATATTTGATTACCCTTAAAAAGGTATGTCCTACCAGATGGTCTTCTAGGAACGACGCTTTATTAGCAGTAAAGAAAAATTTTTTACTAATCATGAAAACTTTGTACCAACTAAATTTAATTTCAAATAAAAAAGATGAACGTGAAGAATGTAAAAGTATAATTAATATTTTAGAGAGTTTTGATTTCTTAGTGCTCGTTACATTTTTTTCTTCACTATTTGAAATTATTAATCCTGTTTCTAAAGCTCTACAGCATGAAAATAATGACTTACAGAAATCTAGTATTTTATTAAGTAATCTTTTAAATAGATTGTGCCAATTAAGAAATCAGAATTCATTTAATAGTTTGCTAAATGAATCCAAAGATTTAGCAAAAGAGTAGGTGGTAACAACTGTTTTTAAAAACAGTAGGCGAAAGATAACGAAGCGTTTTTTTGATGAGTTATCACAAGACGAGAGAATTTCCGACCCGGAATCCTATTTCAAAGTCAATGTATACTATTGCTGTTTAGATATACTAATTTCTCAAACTAAAGAAAGATTTCAGAGCCTTAGCAACCTGAGTAGTATATTCGAAATATTACAACCGGAGAAACTCCTATCTTCTTTAAGCGAAGAGATATTAAACGCTTCCGGAAAACTGTCTGCTAAATACAGTAAAGACATCTCACTTAATCTTTGTGCCCAATTAAAGGCTCTAAAAACATGCTTAAATTCTGAAATTAAAAAAATTTATTCCATTAAAGAACTCAGTGAATTATTGCTAGTAAAATTCAATAGTCTTGTATCCAGTTTTCCCGAGGTAATCACAGCATGCTTTTTATTCTTGACCCTTCCAGTTACAACCGCAACGGCAGAAAGAAGTTTTTCAAAATTAAAACTAATAAAAATTACTTAAGAACTTCGATGGGACAAGAACGGTTGTCAGACATTCACTATTGTCCATAGAGGCAGAAACTTTAGAAAAACTAAAATCATCATCAGCCATAAATGATTTAATAAATCAGTTTGCCGAAAAAAAGGCAAGGAGAGTGAATATTTAAAATTCGATTTTTATTTGTAAAATGGGTAAATTATGTGATAAATAAATATTTCTTCTCACAATATTTTTTTTCTTTTGTGAAAAATCTTTACCTCCATATAGGAGTTAGGTTAGGTTAGGTTAGCGGGTCGATCCTAAGAAGGATCACACTTGGACAGCTTAAACGCCGGTCCGTTGTGGTACTCAAAACTCCTATGAGCCGGATCAACTTGTTGAGATGGCCAATATCTGTTTCGGCCAGATCTTCTGGACCGCCAAAAGTATGATTGCCGAGATGTTTCAATCTCAACCTAACAAAAGCCGGACAATGGAGGAGAAAGTGCCGGGATGTTTCCTGGTCGCCGACCAGCGTCTGCTGAGCTCCTGCGAGGTCCATTGGTCCAGAGCGAGAATGCAAGACGTTAGTGGAGAACCAACTCGATCCCTTTCCGATGTGAGCGGGGCAAGGGTACCCCCCCTGGCCAGCTCTTCGGCCTTGCAATTCCCAGCGATTCCGCTGTGACCAGGCACCCAAACGAGCCTGATATTGAAGTAGCCTGATGCTAATTCTAGCGAGGACAGACACTCCTTGACTAGCTTTGAACGCACGGTTCGCGCACTCAGGGCTTGTATTGCCGCTCTGCTGTCGGAGTGAATGCTCACCTCTCTAAACGTAACAGTACTTCTACCGCCACCTTGATCGCGGCCACTTCCGCCTGAAAAACGCTACAGTGGTCCGGTAGCCTGAAGCAAAGATTGACGGAGAGCTCTTTACAGAAAACCCCCCGCTCCAACTTTCCCTCCTAGCCTCGACCCATCCGTGAAAAAACTCACCGCGCCTCTTCTCCAGCGGCTTCTTCCCCTCCACATCTCCCTCGTCGGGATATGAGCAGAGAAAAAGCCGCCTCGAGAGGCCGCTGTGACGCAGTGATCCAAATTTTCAGGAATGCAGGTGAAGGAGGAGAGAATTGCGGCGTGTCCTTGTTCGGACCTCTTCACAATACAATCCAAAAAAATTTTTATACGGGGCCCTGACAAGGCACGCTACGCCACTGGATACATATTCCTCAAGTATATTGGTTCTTTGCGGCTCTATTATCTATGTATACATAAAATTGCCGAACAAATAATGCATACACAAATCAAATTACATACATATATATATGCGTACGCATGTAAATATGTCATCCGCAGAAACTACAAACATTGTTCTACAAAAACAACAATCGTCACAAGTCAATATGTCACCCAAATAGGCGAAGCCCAAATTTATAGTAAATTACACAACAACAACATTTTCATTCATGAATGCGGGCGTACTTTTAACAAGCAACCTCGCTTCATTCATAAAAATAGATACCTACAAGCGTCTTTTCACGACGATGGCAAAAGCTAAATATTATAAACTGAACAAATTTCTGATATTCCCTCTAGAAGGGAAAAGTGACAACCCCGCAAAAATGAGTATTAAAATATTTTTGAATAAAAGTGACAACATAGTATATTTGTCGATTTACAATTCAAGAAACTTTTTAAAGAAAATATTCAATATTCCTCTGATTTATGTATACAGTTAACCCCGGTTAAGTATCACTCCTCCAATCCCTCTTATCTGCCTGTGTCTTGCTGCATCTCACGTTTTTTTCTTAATTTTTTAAGGAAAACGGTAATTTTTTTTTAAATACATAGAAATTATTTTTTTGGTACCACTCGCTTAAGTACCACAATCGCTTATGTACTACAAATCACAAAAGCTCTTCAACTTTGGTTTTGGCACTTAACCGGGATTGACTGTATTTGCCAGAAAATGTACATAAGTGCGTATGTAAATATTTGAATTTTTTGTACACAAATCTGCCCGTATATATGCACACGACTTGTTGACTTTGTTTCCATTACGCATGCCACGTTGTATGTATATGAATAGGGGTTGATTTTGCACTTGCCATGTTCGATGTATGTTTGTAAGAGTGTGTATGGTTCTGATTTCCCATGAAACAATGAGTGTACATATTTACATACATAGTTGCATGTAGACAAATTAACAATTATAATGGGTACTTTTATATTTGTTTACATGCACACATAATTATATATATATAAATATATATATAAGAATATTTGCGACCGCTTGGTCTTTTCTTATAGGGTTATGTTAAGCAAGAGGTGAACAAAATCAAACCCAGAAATCTGACTGAACTGAAGCAGTCCATTAAATACATATTTGAGGCAATCCTGACTTCAATCCTTCAGTCCGCATTAATTTTCTAATTAGGTGTCGCATATGCGTGGCAGAGCATGGAGGAATAATTAATTGTATAAAATAAAATTAAAATTTTCTATACAATACAAAAAAAATGTATAAAAAAGAAACTTATAACGGTTTATTTTTGTAGCATGATTCGTGAGCCGCCCTGTATATGCAGAATATCTTAAAGTTATATGTAAATTCATTTATTTAAATTAATTTATGTTAATTTATTTTTACTTTCTTGTGAGTTATTAATAATAATATAAACATATTTTGATATATTTCTTAAAATAATTCAAGTGCTTGACACCATTATGGAGTCATAAAAGTACAGAATTGTGTTTTGCCGTCGGCATTTTCATATCCTGTGTAAAAATATTTGTAAATTTGTCTATAAACAACATATGTATGTAGATATGAACATTCATATTACTTCATGTGAAATCTCCGTTGACACGGTCAACCAATGATCGAAGCTCACGTTCTTTGCTTTTATGTCAAAGAGTCAATCTGTCGAAGGACTGACGCGACGACAAAGCGACACAACATTGTGTTGTTGGTAGAAAATCCGAGATGTGCCGAAAAATAAACGAACGCTCGCCGATTGTCATCGCTTCCCTTGCCGCTCTAACAGCTTTGCCCACAAATCATTGTAGGTATGTATGTTTTTATATGAACATGCTACATATTGACGAAGATTTTTGCGAGCCACGGAAAAATATTTTAGAATTGTGAAATATTTTAAATCGACAAAACCTTTGTTGCCACTTTTGTCATTGATTTCTGTGTTTGCAGGGTTGTCACTTTTCTCTTCTAGAGGGAACATCAGAAATATGTTCAATTTATCATTTCTAGCTTTTGCCATCGTCGCGAAAAGACGTTTGTGGGCAAACGCATGCTCAGCGTTCATGAATGAAAATGTTGTTGGTGTGTGATTTACTACAAATTGAGGATTTGTCAATTTGGCTGCCATATTGATTTCTAGTGCTAATGCTATTTGAGACAATTGTTGTTTTTGTACAACAATGTTTGTATTTTGTCTATTGGCTGACGTACTTACATTTGTACGCTTAAATGTCTGTAGATTTGTGTATGCATCACTTATTTTGCGCGGTCATGCGCATATTTGTACATACATACTTTCATATAAAGCAGTGCGCTCACATGTTTTTATTGATAATTGATAATATATTATTACAAGTATATTATATAATATAACATATGTACATAAATAAATTATTAATTCTGTAACAGCTGAAATTAGAAAATTATGAAAATAGTAAAATATCATTTCTTGCATAATCTTTCACATTTTATCAATGTAGCATTTGTGCAAAAAAATCATATTTGTATTTTTTGTTTTCTCATTCATTTCATTTCATTTTTCTCTTTGTGTTGGGAGATACGTAATTTGTCAGAGAACGCTGTTATAAATTCTCATTTCTGTTAAATAACAGCAAATATTACAGAAAATGGTGAACTCCTTGATCTCAAATTTTCAGCCAACCAATCGAGCATCATACAAAATTCACTTTGCACCTTCTCGTTCATTTAAGTTCTCGGTTGGACCTTCTCTATATTTTACATTCTCTGCTTCAGATATTTGTTTTGACAGAAAAGTATGATGTATGCTTTTGTATGAGTACGTATACATCGAAGCGAAACGCAGTAAAACGAAGAAAAATTGTGGGCAACTTTCATTTTTTTACACTTTGCCAAGCAACAGTCGCTATTTTTATTAGAGAGAGGCATAGAAAGCAATAATTCTGACATACCCTTTGCTTTCCTCGCTTTGTTGTTACAGTATAAATTGTCAAGCAAAGCGAGAAAGTTACATGTGAATTGAACCATTATTTGTAAGAAAAAAGAATTGCTAGAAAAATCAATGAAATAGTGCTTGTTTAAATTATACCTGTTGAAATCTAGATTTGGAAAAATTCTCCTAACTCCGTCATACCTTCTTTCTTCAATAACTTACCTTTTATAATATAAACTGCTTGAAAATCGAATTGAGGAAAGTCTCATTCAGTTGATTTATCTTAATTGCCACAAGACGGTTCTCAAAACCCCTAAAATAGCCAGGAAAAAACATTTGCTCTGTGCACTGGATATTGGAAGTGGTATGATTTTTTCAAATACTCTGGGCGATATAATATTTTGTGACGAAACTAAACTATGATTGATGCATGGTGTACTAAGCCAGGTTTGGAGAACTTTCTGATAAGGTTTATAGGTGTGAGCAACTGTTTTTCAATGATGTGATAATGAAGGAGACATAGAAATTTTTCAAAAGAAATTGTCTAGAAGCGCGATTAAGGCTGGGCTTATTGAATTTTATGACTCAAGAAAACTGAAATACAAGCTGAATCAGAACAAGAATACAAAACACAAACTTTGTTTTTATTAGTCTACTTAGTTGAAGATTTAAATAATAATAGATATTTTGCAAGGTATTAATAGACAAATAAATATTTAAATTAATGTACACATAAAATAGATTTAAGATACATACCTTCTGCTCAAATATAAACGAGACTGGCTCAAACAACAAAAACGGTTAATTATTCTTCAATATTTATTTTATCCCCTTCAAAATAGTCACCATTAGAGGCGATACACATATGCCACCTTTTTTTCCAATCTTCCTAACACTTCTGGTAGGCCGCTTTAGGTATGGCTTTCAGTTCCTTCTTCGAATTCTCTTTTATGACTTCAATCGACTGAAAATGCTTTCCACGAAGCGGCAATTTGAGTTTAGGGAAAAGAAAAAAGTCACACGGTACCATGTCGGGTGAATACGGTGCTTGCGGAACAATATTTACGTTGTTTTTGGTCAAATAATCGCGTACAAGACGAGACGTATGAGCTGGATTTTGGAACAAGTCGAGCAGACACACGTCTCATGCCCAAAACATCGTGAATAATGCTATGAGCGGATCCATTTGATATGTTGAGTTCACTAGCTATCTCTCTTTCAGTCACACGACGATTTTCTAACACAATTTTCTTTACTTTTTCGACGTTTCCTGTCCAAAAAACCTAAGCAAAAAAAAATATGGCCATATGTCATGTCCTTGTCTAGTTATGGATAAAGTCTCGTTTTGCGTTGAGCAGAAGGTAAACCTCATGATTCGATTAATAAAGGTTTGAAAATTATGTCAGCTACGTTTTGACACTGCGTTACAAAAAGTTGTATTTGCGAAGTACGATTAGAAACTATTTCTTTAAAAAAAAGTTTCGAACGATTACTTAACTCGTTAACGGAGGAATTAAAATATATTCCCAACTTTCAAAACAACGAAGTACGAATGGAAACCTTTCATTTGAAAGAAGGTTTACATAGTAGTTACGCAACGAAAATATAAAGAAATTTAAGTTCATTTATTAATTATCCACTTTTGTATTTCTTCCAGCCGTCTTCAACACGTCGATCTCCAGTTTCATTGTAATTTTCAATTTTGCAACCTTTTTAAATCTGCTTTCTCCTGTACGTTATTATCTAGGAAATCTCCTTTAAGTCAATCGGAATAACTTATATTTTATAACTTTTTATCTTAGAGGCTTCTTTCATATTAGCCATCTGTACCCTCCCCTCTGCTTGAACTTTTCTTCAATCGCATATGTATGGCTAAATTCACGAAATGAACTGATCATCATTTCGATATAAATACATATGTATGTAACCAAAATATATATAAACGAATATACGCCGTCCCTTGCATATACTGAAAATCTCACACTCTTAGTGGGACTATAGTATATTTAATATTATAAACAATAGGTGCACATCTATAGTAATGAAAAGTTAATTAATTAATTTGGACAATCTATACAATCTTGTACTCAAAAAGTTAATGGTTATATATAACATAAGTTTAGGCACACATATTCTGGTCATTCTGACTCATTTAAAAAAATGTATTGCCGCAGGTTTGCTGTCATTCTGATCATATGGAATGGTGCGATTATTTTTTCGCCTTTTAAACTGATCACGCTTACTTTGGTTCTCGTTTGGTGATAATTCCTAGGCGATTCACTTATCAGTACGAAGTTGTTTTAAAATTTCCATATGTTTATGCAAATTATATACATATTAACAAATATAATGTATGTATTGATGTTATTAATCTTTTTTCTTTTCAATGTTCTTTATTATAAATATGTATGTATGTATTTTTTTCTTTCATGGAAGTAGAACTAGATTGCAAAATCATTTAAATCCCGACTGATTATTATAATTATCGCTGTGATTTTTACGTGTCATGCATATGGCCGCATGCAAGAATATGTATAAATACATATAAATATTTATATATACTGTTGCATATTTATTTATTACCATCTACAATAAGACCGGGGAAATGAGCAATGTCTTCGTACTGATAATGTGCGCGTGCCATAATAGAACTGTCTACCTAAAATCTAAAAACCGCGTGGCGTGACACTCGTCTATGCAAAAAATATTACCAATAATCATTGAAATATAAAGAATAATAAGCAATTTTTAATTTGAAAATTCAATAACATGTGTTCAAAAGAATATACATAACATATGTACTAAATATATACTTGCGTACAATACAAATACAATGTAAATATACGAACATAAGTATCTTAGGTAAAACTATTTATATACCGACAGATTTCAATTTCAATTAACTTAATCAAAATTTAATCAAATTTACAAACAATAACAATTTGCAAAAGTAACAATAAATATTTTTTAGATACAAAAAGTTGTAGTTAAAAAAACAAAATTGTTCGCAATACGAATGTTCACCACTTTTAAGTAAAGAAATCTCTAGATAATATCTTGTTACACAATCAGAACAGTTTTAGTAGATACACAAAGGTAAAACTTTGTCGAATACTACAAGTCAAAAAAAATAAATATCTTCTTCAAAGCTTTAAAAATCAAAAATATTCATTATTCATTTTAAATTCAGTTTTTAATGAAATTTGATTCCAAATTCGTTTTTGTACATACATATATATTACAATATTTCAATGGAGGATCCAAATTCAACATTGTTGCCATATATTTTGGAGACCCTAAGCCGCAAGCCAGAGCTCTGTAAATACTTTGCAAACCAATACTGTTTTTTTTTATTTGCTTCTAATAAACACATGTATGTACGTATGTTCTTGTATGTGCGTTGCAGGTGACACTTTCGATCATATTTGCAAAGACATTGAAGAACAACTAATTGCTGATAATAATACACGCTATGGCAATGTGCGAGTCGCTTTGCAACGTGCTTTAAACGTGGGCCAATCGCTAGGAATCTTAACTTTGACTAACGAAAACATACGCATGCCTTTCAACTTTCGTTCAAGCACAGCTAAAAACACAAAAATTATGCCAATTTCAGGGCACCAAGAAGTTCAACAGCCAGCAATAGGAACTGGAAACCCGGTGGTTCAAAATGATACTGATAAGAACATAATAGTACCTTCGACGACGCATGTAATACGTAATTCACATCATATCTTAAATATTGATTAACTTATGCATTTTAGAATCGTAACCTGCCAAACAATTTTGATGGTCGACGAGGTAATCCCGACTTTGGCTTTGCACCGCCTAAACGTTCCAAAAAAATTCGAGGCCGTCCAAGAGGAAGCAGTTGTGCACGGAAATCAACAGCTACTCGAAGTTATTCACGCGGAAGGTCGGGACGTGGCCGCAAACGAGCCCGTAGTGCTAATGGAAGAAAAATCAATAGGAGACGCTAGAACTTGTGTTTTCAATATAAATCAACTGTACTATGTAATTTCACAAACAAAATTTGTATATTAAAATACATTTCCTCATGCCAAAATATTTATATATTTTTATACTCTCGCAACCTGTTGCTACAGAGTATAATAGTTTTGTTCACCTAACGGTTGTTTGTATCACCTAAAACTAATCGAGTTAGATATAGGGTTATATATATATAAATGATCAGGATGAAGAGACGAGTTAAAATTCGGGTGACTGTCTGTCCCTCCGTCCGTCCGTCCGTCTGTCCGTCTGTCCGTCCGTGCAAGCTGTAACTTGAGTAAAAATTTAGATATCTTTATGAAACTTAGATATGTTTCTGGGTACCGTTAATCAAAAACAAATAAATTACCATAACTAAGCTCCGCAATAAGATATAAGACTGTTATTTGGTACACAGGATCACATTAAGGAAGGGCATCTGCAGTTAAAATTTAAAAGTAGGCGTGGTCCCGCCTCTAATAGGTTTAATGTGCATATCTCCTAAAAATCTAATGTTATAATAACTCTCCATATAACGGTACTGTTAAAAACTACTAAAAGCGCGATAAATCAAGCACTAAACACGCCAGAGACATTAAATTTTATCTCTGGGATGGTATGCGATGACTTTATAGGAACCGCATCCAAAATTAGACAGTGGACGTGGCACAGCCCACTTTTAGGTGAAAACCCTTATCTTGAGATCTGCTTAACCGATCTCAACCAAATTCGGTACGTAACATTCTTCTCATATTTCTATGTTATAGTGCGAAAATGGGCGAAACCGGACTACAACCACGCCTACTTCCCATATAACACCATTTTAAATTCCATCTGATTCTTTCACTTTCCACTATGCATATCAAGCAACAATGATTATATCGGGGTAAAACTTTGCGTGAATAATACGTTTAAAGTATGCCACCTTGTGACCAAAAATTGTCTAAATCGAACCAAAACTGTTCAAGCCCCTAAGTACTAAATATGTGGACCCCAGTGCCTATAGTTGACCTTCTACCGAAAATATCAGCCAATTCACAAAGAAATCTTAAACGAGTATACCATTTGATTTTGCGAGAGTATAAAATGTTCGGTTACATCCGAACTTAGCCCTTCGTTACTTGTTCGTTATGCGATTGTTATACAAATGAATTAAACATATAAAAAAATTTAAATTGGTTCCATTTTAGGAACAAAGATACACCTTTATAAGTAAAACACGCGTTCAGATTTTTATTGAGATAGCTCACATATTAGCTCATATATGTGGTATAAAGTCCCCCGGAAATTCAAAAATCTTTATATTAGGAATAAGGGAAGTATTGACTCGATTCAACCCATTTTTGACATACAGATATATTATTATATGAAAAGGATCCTCTCGGAATTTCAATTATATATCTCACACATTGACCGATAAAAAGTTAACTATAGGCACTGGGGTCCACATATTCGGTACCTAGGAGCTTGAACACTTTTGGTTCGATTTAGACAATTTTTAGTCATAAGGCGGCATACTAAGGCATTATTCGTGCAAAGTTCTATCCCGATACATTGACTGGCGCTTGATTGGCATACTGGAAAGGAAAGAAACAGATGGAATTTAACACTAAAACTACGAACCGTTCAAAATGACCGGTTGCATCATTTGCTTATACCATTTCCTCTTTATTCCTATTTAATATTTTACGATTATGTCATGATTTGTATTAAATTTGTGTACAGAACAATAGATTATTTTGTTCTTACGCTTCTTATTTTCAGAGAGAGAGAGACCTATTTGAAGTAGGTATATAGTAAATCTTCGTAGTTCTAGTGTTAAAATTGTGTTATGTAGAAAGTAGGCGTGGTTGTTGTCCGATTTCGCAAATTTTCACACTGTAACATAGTCATGTTAGAGTATGACCGAATTTGGTTAAAATCGGTGAAGTATCTCCCGAGATATTGATTTTTCCCTAAATGTGGTCCGGAGATATGCGATTCGTTGTAGCAAATACCAGTTTTGTATCCTAATTTGCAGCTCAGTTATTACAATTTATAGGTTTTGGATTAATTACGTTTTGTGGGCGTGGCTGTGGTTTGTATACGCCGATATATACTGAACTTCTTGAACATGTGTAGGATGCTTCATCAAGATATGTAATATTTTTACTCAAGTTATATCTTGTTAGTTTTAGTTGATACAAACAACCGTTAGGTGAACAAAACTAATATATATATATATGAGGACTTCAACTATCTGACTTTAATAAATGTGATTTCTTAATGGAATTTTGAAGTAATATTTTACTGATAATACTTGTATCGTGGTGTCAAAAATGAATAAAATTGAGTTAATACATTCCCCAAACAACATACCTAATATACGGACTTGGATGGCTTTTTTAAAATTTTTTTTTACCATATATGCCGGTCAAGATGTGAATATTTTAGCAAAATTAAGGGTGGGGAGAGGGGTGGTAAGGTTAATTCGTACAAAAATCCCTTTATTGAAATCATTGGTTAATTAAATTATGACACTGAAGAGTGTTGTATAAAATGTTGCCAAAAAATATTAAAAAAGTAAGGAATGGCTAAGTTCGGATGTAACCGAATATTTGATACTCTTGCAACTTGCAAGAATCAAATCCGGTGAAATATCTTCAAATGTTAGCAAAACTTTATATTAAGAAACGTTGCGAAAGAGTACAACATTCATTATTTAACAAAATCGTGAAAGAATTACGATCAAATTTGGCATTTAATTAAGTTATACACGGTGGCTCACGATTCGTGCTACAAAAACAAACCGTAATAACTTTTTTCCTGTTTGAGTAATCGACTTAGTTTTTATTTATATATCAGGTTATTATTTAAATTTTTTGAAAATGATTGCTTGTGATATCGAAAAGAGGGTTTGGATAGTGCAGCGGTACCATGCTTTGCAGTCCGTCTTTTGCGTCCAAAGGGAATTCAGACGGAGTTTTGGCGGCACTCCCCCGAGTAAATGGACCATTATGAAGTTGGTAAACATATTTGCCGAATCTAAAAGTATGGCAAGAATACCGTACAATCGAGATCCATATGTATGTGTTCAAGAAACATTCGCGGTTGTTGCATTGTCAATTCTGGCAAATCCAAGAGTTTCGACTCGCAACTTATGAGCACAACTTGGAGCTAGCAGACGGTCATTACAACGGATAATTCATGATGACTTAAACCTGTTTACGTAAAAAGTCCAAATAATAAGCGGGTAAAATCCTCTAGATTTGTCAATTCGCTTAGAATTTTGCCAACAAATAATTGAAATGCTCGAAGAAGACCATAACTTGATAAGTTGCCTGTTTATGTCTGATGAGGCTCATTTTAATCTAAACAGAAATGTAAATAAGCAAAATCGCCAAATATGGAGTGAATCAAATCCAGAAATAATCCACAAGACGGAACTTCACCCAGAACGAGTCACTGTGTGGTGCGGGTATTATCGGGATATACTTCTTTAAAGAAAACGGTCTAACAGTAATTGTCAATGGGCACCGTTATTTAAAAATGTTGAATGAGTTTTTTACCCAGAACTGCGTCGAAGAAATATCCCTTTCAATAGCGTTTGGTTCCGGCAAGATGGAGTAACTGCACACATAGCCTGACCGGTTATGCGGAGTTCCAACGAAAATTTGAAAACAAATTAATATCAAAAAACTCCACTTTCCGCTGAACCCCAAGGTCACCTGACTTGACTCCACCAGACTTTCTTTTATGGGGTTATGTCAAACAAGAGGTGTACAAAACAAAACCCAAAAATCTTACTGAATTGAAGCAGTCCATTAAATCGATAATTGAGGCAATCCCGATATTTAGCACGATTCTTGGGCCACCCTGTATAATAGGTCATAGACCCAGTAAATTTTGTAACTATATGTTACTTGCCGTCAGCGAAAATTATATTAAAATCATCCTCAGATGAGATATATCGGACAGAAACTTAACCGAAGAGGCTAAATTTAATATATTGAGTTGATGTGCAAAGCATCAACCAGAAGATCACAATTGATGATATTTGGGATATGCGACTAAGACCAAGATCTAGACCAACTCCAATCATTTCAGCGGTTTGTTAGAATAATGGAAATTATTATATGTAGTATAATATAATTTCACATATTTGCGGCATTAAACTAATGTAAATCCAATATTATACTTTCAGTAAATTTTGCTAAGATATCTTATTAGATATATTTATTAGATATATGGGAGATTGACACGATTTTATCCATTTTTGGCATTACCATATATTATTAGAAACAGATACCCTCTGAGTTTTACTAATTTATCTCCCATACCGTCAACATTATATAACTAGTAAAGTCAACCGGATGTTTGAAAATCCTGATAATCGTTTAATGGAGGCATCCGTATTTCAACTCGTCTCTTTATCCTGATCATTTATATATAACTCCATATCTATCTCGATTAGTTTAACAAAATTATACTCCATAGCAAGAATACTCTGTTGCGAGAGAATTCAACATTCATTATTGGATGAAATCGTGGATAAATTACAATCAAATTTGGTAGCTTCTTGACTTATATTGAAGGTCAGGATCGGAATTCATTATATTAGGGATATGAGGTTTAGACCGAGTTATAGACCAATTCCGATCAATTCCATTTATATTAAGCAGTAAAACACATAATCTTTAAGAAATCTTGTCCATTCAATTTCGTTAAAATATTACACATTTTGACTAACCTGAACTGTATAAATCCGGGTGGCAGGTCGGAAATTATTATATAGGCTGTATTGCGATAGAGAATAGTATACTTGAGAATATATTTTCAAGCAATTTTATAAATATATAGTTACATACTGAACGACATATTCGGCAAAAAACTTGATAGAACAACGAAAATCATTATACATATGTATGTAGTACATGGGAGTTGGGGTATTTCGTAGACTAAATACACATATTTTCCGCAATAAGCTGTAGTATATCTGATATTATACGTTCAGTTATCTTACATATTTACCGATATATTTGGTATAAGTTCAACCAGAAGCTTGAAAATCTGATATTAGGTATTGGGAGACAGGTA